GGAAAATTGGCTTTATGTGTATTTCTAGCATGCACCTACATATTTATTCAGCAGGTCTCGCAATACTTTACCTAAGTATTGATCTGCAATCCACCACAATTAGTTCTGTGCCTAAATTAGAAGCACTTCGTGATGTTACGAACGATTTATAGATCGATATTAAAAGTAGGTACTTGATTTCTCAACTCCATTCACTTAAGAGTTTAAATCCAAGATAAAAAAGAGTAGAAAAATTAAATTCTTAGATGTGCAGGGTGTTCATTTAAAACTAGTTCACTGTGTATCTCGAAAACCAAAAAAAAAGGCATCTAAGTTCAGTAAGAAACCTTGTGTAGTGTATATAGATTACTTAAACGAGTATAAACGATATTACTCCTTATAGCAATATACGAGGTTTGGTCGAAAAGTAACGGGAATTGTTAACATTTCTCTTTAGTTAAAAAATACCACAACTGTTGGACAAAGCCTCGTATATCACACGTGAGAGAGAAATATCATTTCAAGCACGTGAGTATTTGCCACCTCACACGTCTCTACAACCTGTTTAAGGTCTGTAGTTTACGTCTGGGAATAGAAAAATATCGATTTATCTTTTCATTACTTGCATTTTTGCGGCAATATAAGGCTCTAAATGTTTCACGATATCGGAGCTGTATTAAAAGTGTCATCAGGCGTAAAATTCGTGTCAAAACGAGATACATTATTTATTGGTCATCGAACTGGCAATTCATCATGTAGTGCAATCGATTTGTTTGTGACGGAGCAATCAACTTGTACACAATATATTACGTAAAGTCGTTTACTGATAGTGATTATGTCGCTCGCAGGAGGCTGACTTTCGCAAGATCTGTGTAATGGGATAGAAATCATTCCAAAGTTCAATCAGTGCTAACGACTGTTTTTAATTATATAAATTAATAAATATTGGCCTCGATAAATAGTGTTTTTACATGCACATTTTCCATATACGTGGTCTGTTCAGAAAATAACCAACCTTTTTGATATGCGTTTGGCAGCATTGCGTTGCGCATATCCTCCTTTGGTTAGCATCTCAATTCGATCATGCCATGAAACTTTGACTGAATAATTGAACTTGCAAGTTTCAGTAAAATTTGTTCTTCGTTTGATGACCGAACAACAGAAAGAACATTTATCAATTTACAATTTAGATTTTTTCAAAATTTGTAATTTTAAAATACTATGTTTTTTAAATTTTATCTGTATTTAACAAAGAAATTTATGTCCAAATAAAAAAAATTAGATTTGTTTAAACAAAAATTATTTAAATATTTGTAATAATTATAACAAAATACATTCATATTCAGGGTATTGAAATATATAAGTACGTAAACAAATTTTTTCGTTAAAAACATGCAATAGCATAGGGTAAAATATACAGTATATTTAATGCATAAATATGAGCAAATTAGAGAGTTGGCATTACGATATTCGAATTCCTTGGCTCGCGAGACATCGGATTAAAAAAAAATGATCGAAATTGGTCCATTAGAAGCCGAGATAATGCAATTTTTTTGGTACTTTCGCATTTTGAACCTCCGAATTCAGTCTCGGAGCGAAGGCCCCTCCCTCACTTTTCGTGTTTTGAGTCACTCATCGCGTGTGCGAGCGACAGCTTTTCCGCTGATTTATCTATGTTGACGATAACTTATGGGTATGGAAATTTTTTCCAGCTTAAAACTCGGAAAAACGAAGCCACTGGATCAAAGATTAATCTTAAATTGTTTATAAATTAACGGTAAATGCCGATAAACTTTGACCGCTTATATCTCGAGAACCAATAAACGGATTTTTTTTTAAGAAGCGTCTTTCCGAGTACTTTAAAATTATAATTTTTGAAAAAAACTAAATTGCAAATTGATAAATGTAATCTAATTGTTTAAAAATAAAAAAAGGGTGTTAACTTCAAAAATTTACTGTGACCATCCTAATCAACCGATTTCAATTTTTCGAAAACCATTTGAAAGGTTGAGCGGCCTTTTTATGTGATAAAATTTTCAAGTAGCTAGATGCTTTACTTGAGGCTGTGCAAAATTTTCCAAAAATTTTTTTGCGAAAACTATTGAACCGATTTTAATGAAATTTGGTGTGTTGTTTTATTACACTCTAAAGTTTTTTTACCAAAATTAGAATGCCGTCGGAGCAATTAAAATATTTTAAAAAATATATCCAAGAAACTTGATTATTTTGCCTTTTTTCATCAAGTACTGCTATTTTGCAACCACGGTAATAAATTTAAACATTTTTATCTTACAGTACATTATGCAAAATTCAATTCCTCTTTTTTCCTCTTCAATATTCTTCCAAAATGCTTAGGTTCCAAGATATAAGTAAAAAACTCAAATAAAATAGGTATTTTTTAAAATTTTTTAAACATTTTTGCAATTTTGAAAATGTTCCGGACCTTGCCCAGATCTAGGGATCTACACTTTTATTTTGTGAGTTGTACTGAAGGTATTCCAGCCAAAATTAGCTTGACCCCTCTTACATCCAAGAAGTGGAATATTTCAACAGATTCGTCCTGGTCTATATCAAGTACATCGACTACGTTTCAAATTAGATCAATTTAATTTCATAATAGACGCATATTTTTCAGAAATCATCGATTGTTTTTGAAACAGTTAGAAATTAGAAAATATATTTAAGAAAATTTGTTATTGTTCACAATTTATATGTCCCTAATAAAAATCGAGAGAGTTTAAGTCAGGAGATCGCTGTGGCCATGCTACCGGTCGTTTCCGTTCAATCCACCGTACTTTTTGAATTAAAGCAATATTGAACAATTTTGTCAAAAATTTAGGAGGCACACCATTGTGCAGAAACCACATTCGTTGTCGATCGTCTAAGGGCACATCTTCGAGAAGTCCAGATGGATCATTCAGAAAAAAATCAAGATCCTGAAAATCATCCATTCGATTACCTGCATGAACAGTCCAAATGAGTGACCGTCGATAACGATAATCCTAATCAAAAACTCAAAGAAAAATGCTGCTGGAAGTAATCATATTAAATAGTATAAAAATTTTCAAATTTTTACACGTGTATTTTACAAACATGATCGTCAAGTATAAGTGGAGGATTTTGTTGTGAATTTTGTTGTAACAACCATTCATAAAATCTAACTCATAACATTAAAGTTAGAGATTCATGGATACATACACACCAGGTATTTGTCGAACGATTTGTCTTTTGGAACATGCGGGAATGATTGTTTACAATATTTAAAAATTTGCTCTTCGGTTGCTACACTAGGATGTGAATTTCTGCGGTCAGGAGACCACCATTCGGTCGTAAATTTCCCTTTTCAACCCTCGTTGAACCACCGCGATAGAGGTAGCAGGATTTATCACATGTCTATCAAAAACGTTCTGCCTACAAAGGAGAAGCTGCTAATGTATTTCCTCTTGCCGCCCCCATAAAATTAAGATAATATACATTAATTCTACATTGTTACACACTTGGACTGATACAGATAATAATACCAAATAGACATTTGTCAAATCAGATCGGCTGAGGTTAGCTCATGTTTCAAAAAATATATATATTTTCGTATCATATCTTCATATTACTCTGAACGATTTAAATGAAATTTATTGTAGCGTATTCACGTAAATAGACCTTTTATTGTATGTAATATTAACCTCGTGGCATTAACCAGTGGCTTGTTACTGAGGTGCTACTTTTTCGGACTTTAGAGAAGAACCTGATTTTTCTGGAAAACACCCCGTATATCCGTATATTTTTTTGTAAACATTAACACCCTGTATCTAGAATACCGAGTCCCGCAGGAAAAAAGTTTATAGAGCAAACTCTATTTATTTTTTGGTAATGACTCCAGTTCTGCAGTTTCTGTATTTAAAGTGAAATCACCCTGTATATCCCTAAAGTTACCCTGTATCTCAATCTTGTTATATTCAACCAATATTATATTTCCCCCAATAATTTATGGCTGTAATCTACATATTTATCAGCTACGAATTTGATATTAATACGCTGTTATTTACATTTACTTAACTTAGTACGTTAAATATCAATCTAAACCAAATGTGTAAACAGATTATTTTTGGAGTGTTTGTACGAAAATATGACTAGATGATACCAACAAAAAATCAAAGGTCGGAATACCGAATCATAAACGTAAAGCGTCGTTTGATAACCATTTAAGTAAATAAACACCAATTGATCTGAGATGTGCATCTAGAAATTATATTAATTTGTAATGGATAAAACGTGATTGGTCAATTGATTCGTATTCACATATCACTCCTACTGAGTTCTGGATGTTTTGATTTCCATTTAGGAAGAAATAATAAGTCTGCAAATCCTATAAGGGACCATGATACAAAAAAAAAAAAAAAAAAATTCACCTACATGTTTTACTATAGTCTCCAATTTAGTTCTAATCTCAATTTATAAAACCGTGTTTTCCCATATTCTTTAGAATACATTTTTTTTATCTATGAATTTGATAAATATGGCAATCGTTCTTTGCATGACTTTTTATTTATTAAAATTATTAAAACTAAATTTTATAGCCACACCAATTTTTAAGAGTAACTAAACTACATTTTTTTAAATAAAAAAAAGGCTGTCTTTATTTTTTAAAAAGCGAATTAAATTCAGGCCACTTCGAATTCAGTATTGTTATCTATGTTTTATGAGTAAGGCTGTCAGAACTGAGCCCCGAGACATAGGCGTGCGCATTATTTATTAAAAAGCAACAAATTGCATTGTCTACAATACACCACCATAAACACCAACGCATAGGAATTAATTACGCAACATCCGCACGATAACAAAGGCAACAGTATACTATCGTGACGTGAACGTGAAAAGCATTCTGAGGCAACGGCTCACGCTCGGTTGATCCGCTTGGCACGCCATTGAACTGCGGCTCTCTGACAGCCCTATTCATGAGCCACTTTGGAATGTTGATTCTCTATCCTCTAATTTCTTTTTTTGATTTGCCGTTTTTGTTTCAGATAATGAATACAGCGACAGCGAAGAATCCAGCACCACTACCACACAGAGATTACCCAAGGGTTACCAACCTAAATCGTATTACAACAAATTCTCTTATTCTAGTCAGTCAACGCCGAGAAGAAGGTACCAGCACGACAGTACCAAGTCCACGAGGAGCAGTAGCACTGCCAGCGAAAACAAAATTACGTTTAACGAAGGTGAGTACCAAATGGAAAATTAACTGTTACATACAGTGTGGCACATTTGTTCTTTGTATTACCACCTTGTAAAATCTTTATTTATTGTGCGATTTTAACCGGATTTTTTTTTAAGATGTACTACATCCATTTTTAGGAATAAAATTCCAATAGTTTATATTAGGAATTTTTTAAGAAAAAATATATTTACGCCACTGGATTCACAACCCGCCAAAACGGGCCAAAACCAAATTTTATCAAAATTTTTTAAATAATAACGATTTTTTAGTCAGATTACAAATCTACTTTTTTTTCATTAACTGATTGTTGCCCGTAAGGCAAAACAAAAACAAAAAAAATGAAATTAATTAAATTTTGAAAATAATGAAACTGAAACCAACAAAAGTTAAATAATATATTCTTGTCACTTCTATCAATTCACCATTTACTTCTATGCACTTCTCAATTCTTTTACGTAGGTTCGTAATTACTTTTTGTATTTGGTTTGGGGTCATTTCTGCACAGGCTTACATTATCCTAGCACTTAGTTCGTGTACAGCTTGTGACCTTGATTTATAAATTTTTTGTTTCAACAAACCCCAAAGAAAAAATCTAATGGCGTCAAGTCCGGGGATCTCGGCGGCCACTCGATTAAAGGACTATTTCGTGATATCCAACAATTCTCAAAATGTTTGTTTAATCATCCTCTCACCGCAGCAGCGTTATGAATAGGGCTACCATCTAATTAAAACTTCAAATTGAGGAGATTTCTTAAAGGCAAATCGTCTAATGCGTTCAGAAATTCATTATTAAGAGAATTTAAAAATCTAGTCGCATTCAAATAGCCGATAAAAAATAAAGGGCCAACCAATTATTCTATTATTTAGTATTCCACACCAAACGTTAACTTTTAATTGAGTCTTTGCGTTTATCATGAATTCTGGATCTACCTACATATTTGGTACATATTTTTATCTTAAGTCGATACATTTTCTGTGTAATTTTGGTTTAAAATATCAAAGCGTGAACGGATGAAAGGGGAAATGGTGTTGTAGTACCCATGGGCCCCTCAATTTTTTTAAGTACGCCTATGGTCTCAAAATATTTTTTTTAGATGCAGCATCTTTTTATTCTATTTTTTTACTCTTATAAGATTTTAATTTACATGATTTTTAGATAGGTGACATCAATTTAGTAGACGTTTTGAAATTGTCCAGTTTCTTAAAAATTAATGTTATGAATAAGTTCCTGAGACATTTTTTCGAAATATTATTGGAATTATATATCATCTTTTTTTTTAAATTAAGTGATTATTTTAGAATTTAGTAGGTACAATTATTACTGAACAAATTACACTTACGAAAAAAAATTATTTCAGTAATTTAACATTAACCGTTGCGCATGCTCGGGAAGAATAACCTCATACGCAGATGAGATCGCTGTCATCATTAGCGTATTTTCTCTTCTTTTGTTTAATCTTGGAATTTTCTAGTTCTACTATTTTTATTGTTTTTCTTGGTACTTAGTGTGTCAGTGTGATTATTTCTTCTTTAAGTGGTTTATTATAGACGTACTCTTAACCACAACCAAACTTTTCTTGAATAATATCCTATTGCGAGGCTACTTCACTTACATGAAATTATCTTTAACGCGCATGCTCAGTAACATTGATATAATTTTAATTTATTAATTACTATAAAAGTCAATATTGTTCTATAAATTTAAATATATAAATTCTATAATTCTTTTAATTTGTCACTTGGGGTTTTAAACTTCTTAGATATTTCTAATATTGCCAGAATATCGCGATATTTAAGGTAAATGCCAAAAAAGCATCTTCCTTGTCGATTATGTCCAAACTACGCATAAGATCGAAAATCGATCTAGTAAAATTACTGAGAAATTCTTTGACAGTGTGTACTATGGGGTTGCCTATTATTTGGCGTATGTGACGTCACTACTAAAAAGGTCTCACTAAATCAGGGATGCACATACCGCGGCCCGCTGTCGATGTTTATGCGGCCCGCCAACGAATTTTAAAAGTATTCTACTCGCCGCGCTCCGGTCCAAGCATATTATTACGAGACTAGAAATCTGTCGCATCAACTAGATTACAGATTCGCGAAACACGTCGATCCCCGAACAAAGTGGATGGTTCTCGATGTTTGGTAACTCGTATAAATACGACGCATCGCCGGCTACCGGGGCAGTTAAGTTTTGACTACGGATAAGCGAACGTTATACTGTTTGAGAACTGTAATCTGTGACGAGTAAATATTTCGTCGTTCGAACTTGGCTTTTACCGACTGTAACATATAATATTAATTTTGATATGGATAAACCAGGCCCCAGTAAGAAACGTAGTCGTAAGGTTGAAGATGAAAATCGACAGTTTCATGATATTTGGACCGAAAAATACTTTTTTATTTCATCGCATAACAAAATTGTCTGTTTAATATGCAAGAGTAGTGTTTCTATTCCGAAGGAATATAATGTGAAAAGGCACTATGAAACCCAGCATCCAACTTTTACCAAATTAACTGGCGAAAATCGAACGCAAAGAATTTCCACTTTACAACGGGAACTAATAGGCCAGCAATCTATGTTTACAAAACCAATTCAAGATGCTGAAACAGCCACTGAAGTTAGCTTTGAAATATCTCGAATAATAGCGAAAACTTGTCGGCCTTTTAAAGATGGTGAGTTTGTTAAGCAATGTTTGGATATCGCCGCAAAAAAAATTTGTCCGGAAAATGTAAAGAAGTTTGAAAAAATTCAGTTAAATCGGATGACTGTTCAAAGAAGAATTACCGCATTAGCAGATAATATAGAAGAGCAATTAGCTACGAAATCGAGAAGTTTTGAGTATTTTTCTATAGCGCTCGACGAATCTACAGATATAAGTTCAACTGCTCAACTATTAATATTTTTACGAGGTGTAACGCAAAATTTTGAAGTGAGTGAAGAACTGATTGGTATGAGTTCTTTGACAAGTCAAACCAGGGGAAGTGACATGCTCAAAGCTCTTCTAGAAAAATGTTCTATAATGGATTTGGATTTAACGAAAATATCTGGAATTACAACTGACGGAGCACCTTCAATGGTTGGAAGTACATCTGGGATAGTAACTCTGTTAAAAACATATTTACAAACTAAAAACATAAATACCAAGGAATTAATGCAGTTTCATTGTATTATACATCAAGAGGCCCTCTGTTCAAAATTATTGGGATTTGAAAATGTTATGAAAGTTGTAGTACCTACCGTAAACTTTATAAAATCACGAGGTCTCAATCACCGACAATTCAAACAATTTCTCGAGGATATTGAAAGCGAATATGGTGATCTCCTGTTTTACACTGAAGTAAGGTGGCTAAGTCGTGGGTTGACACTACAGCGATTTCTTAACTTGATTGAAGAAATCCAACTATTTCTGGCGGAAAAGAAAAACGACGTCCCCGAACTCGACAACCCTGATTGGCTGTGTGACTTAGCGTTTCTTGTAGACATCACAAATCACTTGAATGTCTTAAATACGCGACTCCAAGGCAAAGATCAATTGATTTCGCAGCTATACTCTCATGTTTCGTCCTTTCAATGCAAATTGAGTCTTTTCAGGACACAAATCAATTCAGCCAATTACGGCCATTTTCCGAACTACAAAAAAATTATGGAGAAGTTCAATAAAACTGACGTCAATTTCGCTCATGTTGAAAAAATTGATATTTTGATACAAGCTTTTGAAAATCGTTTTGTAGACTTCAAAAAAGTTAAACCGCTATTGGACATTTTCAGCAATCCTTTCAACATTTCACCCGAAAATGCGCCGGAATTAATGCAGCTGGAATTAATAGACATGCAAAATGATGATAATTTAAGAAACAAATTTAATGAAGGTAATTTACTCAACTTCTACCGTTGCGTTGATAAAAACGCTTATAAAGAGTTGCGAATAAATGCATTGAAATGCGCAAGCTTATTTGGATCGACGTATATTTGTGAACAAACGTTTTCAGTGATGAAACTTAACAAAACGAAAAACCGAAACCGTCTGGCAAATGAAAATTTGGAAGCAATTATACGTGTGGCTACAAGTAATGTGGAGCCAAATATAAAAAAACTTGTTAGTTCAATGCAATGTCATGCATCAAAATAATAAAACATGAAATATTACATTGTAATGATTACATAATTATTACAACAAACATTTTTGAAGGTTATTTTATTTTTGTCATTGTATTTCATACTATTTAAAAATAAAAAAATTTGTGTTAATAAATATTGTTTGTAGTGGCCCGTCCTTGGCTTATATTTTTTCCGAGTGGCCCCTGTTCCCTATAAGTCTGTGCATCCCTGCACTAAATAGTAGCTGCAAATTAAAAAAATTGTTCAGTGGTCCAAGAAAATGGACGGCATTGTATACCTAGCTTTGGAACAATGTCGTGCTTATAAACTGTGTATCACATAAACTATTTGTTATTCTTTTACTGTTAAATGACATATGGATGAGAAACAGGAAGAAAATGATTAATTTCATTAAGTATCATTACCTACTTTTTGAATAATGATACATATTTACAACAAGTGACATAAAAACTGCATGTTGTATCATTACAAAGGAGCAGTTTAACTAAACGCCAAACGGTACCGAACTTTGTATCTTTGCCATGGCATTATCTTATTTGCGAAAGTCTAACTGTGATTATACTTTACATGTGAAGAAAACTGTCCGAAATTGTAAGACCTCGAGATTTGAACCGCTGATTAGAGGAATTTGTCGTATAAAACGGATTTTAGTAATCCTCAGAGTTAGTACCCGATTTTGAAATATTTACCAAGTAAATACACAATATATTTATCTGCTGTTAATTTTTTATATCCGTATACACCCAGTTACCTAGATTTGTAACTGTATTAACTTTTATGAATAAATAAATAAGTTCACGAACGCAACACTGTTGTTAAAAACTTATATATAAAAATAAAAATATATAAAAGTAAAACGAACTTTGCGATTAGCT